CCTTTTGTTCCTCCCACGCAGTTCCAGAGAGCTAAGAAAATGCTTATCTCCCTGAGCTTGGCCTTCTTAGTTCCATTCCATCACAGAACCCATGTAAGCAGAGACAGAGGCAGCACAGTTTTTTTTTTTTTTTTTAATTGGCATGCAGAAACCACAGAGATCACTGAAGCATGTCAATAGTCATGAGTGTCTTTCAAATGAAAGAGAGAACTTTCAAGGAACCTGACCTGAAATAAAACTTTTCTGTTTTGGTCTTCTGGTAGTGGATTCTTCTCTTTGTGGTTTCATGAATCCCCCAGCATATGACACTATTATGGAGCCTGAGTGCCACCTTGAGGAACATCTTTCTACAGTGTACCAAAGAATGTCTTTTTATTTCACATGAGTGGGTGCTCACTTCCAAGAACTATGTATCTGAAACAGAAAAGGGAAGTTAGGTCTTTACCTTCAGGGTTTCATGGGCAGATAGAATTGGTATTATATTTGGAGGACATGCATTTTCCATGGAAGGTTTTGGAGTCTACGGAATTCAATGAAGTGGGAATGCGACATAGTGGGCATAAAGTTTATTTCCTTTCGGATCAAGCTTAGCTTCTGCGCATCTCATAAACAGATTCATTGGCCTTCTGGGCAATCATCTTCTTCAAATAACCATTAGAGCTTCCCAACCAAATCTAAGGCCCTAGTATTCCCACAAAAATCTGATCTACAGTATGAGCTAAGCAGGTTTTGTTTTCCTATCCTCAAGCAGTTCTAACTATTAACATATACATTGAAGCATATCATTATTTTTATATGCATATATTTAAATTTATAGATGCATAGCTTATTTATTATATATCATGCAGATTCATATTATATTCAAAGTGTTTTCCAGTTTTCATTTCAGTGGCTCAGACAAATATAAACTTAGTCTATAAAAACCAGTTCTTTTCTAATTTATTAGTAAGGTTGAATTTTTAAATGGTTTATATAATATCTATGAATTTTATTCTATTTTTTCAACTTATATGGATCCCCTTCACCTGCTATGTTATTACTATGACTGTTGTTTTTATTATTTAGTTTTATTTCCCAGACTTTATCAAAGGAATTGAAAAATAATTTGCCGATGATTACTCTTTCAGACACTGCCCATATAAAACCTAGTGCTGAGAATTTATCCTCCTCATAGTTTGACCCTAACATAGCAGGTGAAGTTAAAGGCAAGATAAAAATGTCCAAATCCTTGGTGGGCTGTTTCCTGGCTATCACTGGGTACTCCTACACTATCATTAGGATTAAATGATGTGATAAAGCACAGCATTTTAGCTTCTAAGAAATATCCTACCCCAAAATGAGAGAAAGTCATCATTTCAAATCAGGGATATGTGTTTGAGCATCAAAGGACGGTCTGGATGCAATACAGAAGACATGATATCAAAAGAAAAGGGAAACAAGCTGGTTATTGTTGCATTGATGAAATGGATGGCCATATAAATCAAAATAAGGAAATAAATGAGAAAAGGATGGAGCAAGTGAATAGGAATGGTGGATGCTTGTGACTAGAGTATTTTCCCCATTGCCTCTAATGGAAATGGATTGTTGATCCAATTCATGGATATCTACTTAGAAACCTAATTGAGAACAAACAGTAGGACATAATGTCTTCAGGGGCTTCTGCCATTTTTTATATCTCAATGCTTTATGTGATCCCAGTCAGTGATGGATTATTCAATATATCAGAGTTAATGCTGGCTTTATTACACTGCTTTTAACATTTAAATTGTTTGTGGATCAGCAACTACAGAACCATCACTCATGCCACATTCAACCCATCCTGTGTGATCATATGTGGGGCTGAAGAGGGTCACCACATTTCATCACCGCACCTTATGAACCCAGGGCAGGCCCAAATGATGGGCCGCTTTGCCCACTGAAGTAAGGGGAGTTCCCACCTTCCTTGCCTTTTATAAGACAGCGCAGAAAATCCCACGTTGGAGGACCTTTAGAATGGATGGTGGACAAGGCCTACCCTTAGAACATTTGATTTTAGAGTGGATTGACTGATTTTTCTCTTCCTTCCTTCCTTCCTTCCTTCCTTCCTTCCTTCCTTCCTTCCTTCCTTCCTTTCTTTCTTTCTTTCTTTCTTTCTTTCTTTCTTTCTTTCTTTCTTTCTTTCTTTCTTTCTCCTTTCTTGGCAAGTTTTCGGAAGTGGTTTGCCCTTGTCTTCTTCTTCCTGGGACTGAGAAAGAATGACTGGCCCAAGGTCATCCAGCTGTCTTGATGCCTAAGGTGGGACTGGAACTCAGGGTCTCCTGGTTTCTACCCTGGTGCCTTAACCACAACCAAACTGGCTCTCCTTGAATTGATTACTTGCTCTTTATTGTTGTTTAAATAATATTTTGTATTATAAATCATAGTCTTTACAGGTGGGTGGTAGATAAATCATAATACAATAAAGGCATAAATATATAAACATTGGCATGAACCTTTCATTCATTGTCAGATGAAAGATAAAGGGCTAAAAGGAAGGGAGAAACTGAGCATCCTCAAGCAAATATCTAGGCATAAAATCTGGGCTGAGTCTTGCATAAAGGCAGATCGAAGCTAACAACATTCAGATGATGCAAGAGAGTGCTTCTTTTCTGCATTCACATTTGTCTCCTGTGCCTAGAACAAAAATAAATAAATAAATAAATAAATAAATAAATAAATAAATAAATAAATGTTGACAGCTGCTTCCTCCTATTTTTCTGCCTGTTGTCAAAAGCAACCATAGGAATGATTCATCACTTTTTCCTCCTGACAATGACCTCAGTGCAGACTGCCTCAGCTCATAAATTATTATGATAATACTATCAACATGGCCCAGTTTGCCACTTCCTCTTCTTCTGTGGCATTAGCTGTTATTTTTGCATCTTGGAAGAAGTGTGGCATGTTTCATGCTGTCTGAAGAGAAGCAAGGACTAAAAGAAGTCAGTGACTTGATTGAATGAAACCAAGTCAGTGACTTGGTTGAAGGAAAGCCCTCATTGGAAAGAGTCTGGATTTTGAGGCAGAACGTTTTTTTAGACTGCCTGTCAGAGATGGAAAGGAATATGAACAATGGTGGGAGTCATCTTCTTCAGTATGTTTCCTTCTAGGAATGGCTCTTTTAAAAATTGTTTTCTCATAGATCTTAACACATTTCCTTCTAGTTTGGAACCACAGGAGATTCTCTTTGCAAATCTGCCTATAGAAGCACTTCTTCTAAACTCTATCAATGAACTGCCTACAGCTTCAGTGTCCAATGTCCATCCCCTTTTTGCCCAGCACTCTAAACATTTCTCCACAGGAAAGCTTGCAGAAATGAAGAGGTTCCTGCTTGAACCCTGGTCAACTTTGCAGTGGAGTCTTTGGATTGCTCTCATAGGCATGCAACCAAAACAACAACAAACCCTGGATATGTATACATCTGTTATGTCTTGTTTTATCAGAATTGTCCACAATTGTCCAGAAGACGGATGTGTCAGAGGTTCTTTCTCTGGGCAAGGAGCATGGAATGGAACTAGATGATTATTTGATTCCATTTTAGGTTCTGTCTAAGATTTTATGGGACCACGCATCAGCCATTCAGTTTTGCTTTCCTTGCTAGCCAAGCAAGAGGTCTTCTCTGGAGGCTTTATGTGTGACTGTGAATGTGGTTTTCTCCAGTGTGTCTCTTGCGCAGTAATACACAGCTGTGTCTTCAGTGTTCAGGTTCGTCAGCTGCAGATACGTGGTGCTGATGGAAGTGTCCACCGTGATGGTGACTCAACCTTTAAAAGCTTCGGCGTAGTATGTCTTAAAGTGATCCGTCGTAATTCCACCCACCCAGTTCAGTCCTTTTCCTGGTGCCCGTTTGATCCAGTTCAAACTATAGTCAGTGAAAGTATATCCAGATGTCTTACAAGTCAATCGTATTGATTCTCCAGGCCTTTTAATTTCTGGACCAGACTGGAGAAACTGTATTTCAGATTGGATCCCTGTGGATTAAAAAAAGAAAGGGGGAGGGGGGATGAGAGAGAGAGAGAGAGAGAGAGAGAGAGAGAGAGAGAGATTATTTAAACACACAAATTCTCAAATCCTATATTTTCTAATAATTTTATCTCTCTCTTTCTCTCTTCTTTTGTCATCTAGATTTAATAGAATCTCATACTTTAACTATTTCTCCAGTTTTGTATTTAGGAGTAGCCATCCCCAGCAAAGGAAAATATGATGCCCTTCAGCCCAAATAGTATCAGAATGAAGAGCATCTGAGTGTGGGGTTCAGGAGTATATCAAAGTGGAGATCCTCAGTTTTATTTGGTGTCTGTATTCTTGTCCCCCCCTCCCCCTTTGCTTTTAATTCCTTTGAAGGCTTGAATGCCTGGATCATTCTGCAGAAGATATCCTTCTTTCTATGTTGCCTTACCTCCCAAAGAAGCTGCCAGGAGGAGAAGACATGGCCAGGAAGGCATGATTCTGATGACCTAAGAAAAAAAATAAAAGGATGTTGTCAGCCTGTCAAGTCAACTTTTTATTTATAGGCTTCTGGGAGAGGAAATCTAGACTTTTCATTTGCATAAGGATGGTATAATAGGCTTGAAATCTGAACGGGCCATCAATAGACATCAAACTGAACGGGCCATCAGGTTTGGCAGTTATATGAATCTTAGTGGCTTTCTAAATTCAGAAGAAAGGCAGGTTTTACTGCATTTAGCTTCTACTTCTCAGTCACTCCTTGGAGATTAATCCAGAGTTGAAGCTGTTCTTTAACTTACTTCCCATATTGTTTTTGGATCAATGGACCTATAGAATAGTGGAGGATTGAAAAGAGCAGTACTGTATCCATTTCTAACCCCATTATGAACATTATGATTACTGGGCAATACTAATCACAAATTAGTGACAGAAATCATTGGTATTACTGGTTAACATTTGAATTGTGTGAGAATATAGATCTGAATCTGGAACCTCCCTAGTCAGCCAGTGTTAAATTCATCTCACTTCAGTATTTTCTTCTAGTCCAATTTGTTTAAAAAAATTATTTGATAGCAAACCCAAGTTAAAGGCGATGAACTCCCTGGACAGCAGAAATGCAAGTGAAATTCCCATCAAGGAAGCTGGTTGCAGAGGTGGTGAAAGAACAGTAAATTCCATGAAATGTAAAATATCAACAGCAGAAACAACAAGACTCTGTTAACTGAACTGGTAAAGATAGCCATTGATCCCAGTGATCCCATTGCGATAACAGAGGATCCCAGACCATCTGATACAAGCAAAGCACTCTGGATTCTCTTTGGATCTGGTTGCACCTAGGATCGGCTAACATCCAGGGATATTGAGCATTTAAGTGGCTGTGAAGGGTGGTTACACCCATTGCTGTTTGGAAGAATCTATGCTAGGCAAGATAGATCAGAGAAACAGACTAACAACCATTTGGGGCCAGACCAGTTTGTGTATTATTCTATTTCACTGTGAGCACTGCAGTAATAGAGACCGCTGTCTCCAACTTTCAGTTGCCTTATCTGTAAGGAAGCTGTGTCCAGTGAATTATCCCTGGAGATGGAAAATTGGTCTCTCAGAGCCTGGCGCACATTTGATCTACTGCCATCCTCATTGAGCTCTCCTATCCATTTCAATCCTTTGTTGTCAATTCTGTACGTCCACTGAATCCAGCTCTGATGAAAAGATGAGACTCCTTTGCAGATTAAAGTCAAAGTCTCTCCAGGGAGTTTAATTTCTGAAACGGGCTGGGTCAGAATCTTTTGGGGCTCAGCAGCTGCGAATCAAAAAATGGGGACATGTTGATAAGACCTGATGAGCACCTCCATCAATAAGAACAGTTTTACAGCCATTTCATTCAATCACTGTCGTGTTAAGTAGATCGGAATGATTGCAAAATTACAGAAACAGAAGGGATTGAGATCATTAGGTCCACATCTTCATCCAGTTTTTCTAAATTGCAGACACTACAGTTTTCCAATAAGATACCAAGCCTTCAAGATTGATGTCCAGCATGCTAGTTTATTAACTTTTCATAATTTTGGGACTGATATATAATGGGATGGTACATTTGCAAAATAATACATTCATAAGATTGCTGGCAGGAGAGAAGAAAGAAGAAAAGCTTTTAGTTGTTGGACCAAAACAACAAACTGGAAAGGGTAAGGAAAGAAAATAAAGTCTGTCCGGGATCCATCATGATTCAAAAAATCAACAATACATTAAAGTTATTATTAAGTTATTAACTATGATGGACTTACTCAAAACAGTCAATCACATCCCCATTGTTAAAGATGATGGACTGCAGACAGGCATTCTTAGTTAGTTGAAGAAATATAAGATTTTCCTCAGTCTAATAGGGATGTCTTGCCCCATGTAAAAATAATCCATAATGAGGTCACCTTTTCACCTTTTTTCTTTCTTTTTTTTTTTGGAGGTATTTTTCACTTACCAAAGAAGATGTTCATCAGTATAAAGACTGTTATTAAACTCTTCATGACACGTTATCTGTTAGCATAAAAAAGCAATGACAATGTTCTTGGAAGAGAAAACATTCCAAAAAGTGTTCAAGGAACGATACGTAAGTGTCATATAACATTGATGAAAGGAAGAAGGATTTGCATAGGATTGTCTATAATAAGGCACAGTTTACTCTGACTCACGTTCAGCTGGTTTAACCTCAAATTCCGCTGAGCATTAAAGAATAGTCATTGTTCAGATGTACAGAGGGACAAATATGTCAGTGCTGATTTAATCCCATTTTATTTATTTTTTTCTAATCTCAAATTCTGCTTACCCCACTTCCACAGGAGTTTGATTCTGATTTTTTTAAAAAGGACTTTTTGCAAAGATGTCTCATGTGGGTGTGTGTTTTGCATGAAATTAATCTTATACAATGCTTATCGTGCATTATTGCCACATCTGGACTCCTGTGCATTTTTCCTCACTGTGTTTATTTTAAATGAGGAGTTGCACTTCAACTTTTTGGAAGATGTGAATTTTGGTTAATGCATTGGATCAGGATACTGAGTACTATAATCCCATCATATCTGGAAGGCATCAGATTAGCAAGGAATGCCTGCTTGTATTTTAGAGGTGGAAATGCACACACACACCCATCTCACACAAGTGACTCTGGCAAGCTTACAAGATTACAACAAACAACTCCATAAAGCACCTTCTGGCACCCAAGGAAACTTTTGACTCCACTCACCACCACCAACAGCAGGGCTTACCCACCCCTGAACCAAATGCCTGGGGAAACCACGAGGTCTTCAACGCCTTGCAAAAGAATAATAGGGTTGGGGCCATCAGAATCTTCATGGAGCAAATCTATCTACGTGGTTGCTAGGAGTCAAAAACAACTCGATCAATCATCTGAATCACTATTCAATCAGCAGATGTATTGTCTTCTGCCTGTAGATATCTGGGGAGGTGAGGCTGGAGGGGAAGAATGAGACATGTGTGAAGATAGTGTGGCATTTGTGTGATGATGTCACTGTGCATGTGATCAATATGGTTTGCTTGGAGACCACTCCTCCCACCCTCCCTGTTGAGTGAATCTGATTAAACTTCAGGAGGGTGGTAGAACTGTAGAACTATAGAATCATAACTATAGAACTCAATCAGAAGCAAGATTGATGTCAGCCTTACTAAGTAGACCAAACAAGAAACACAATCAGATGAGCTAAGTTTACTTTATTGTAAAGCTACATTGCCAGAATCTTGCAAGTCTGAAAGTACAATTCTACCACCGTCTCCTTTACAGCCTGAGAAACTAGGGAGGGTCCCTTCTGAGCCTCTTGCTCTACCCATTATGTAGCTGTGGGCTCAGCTGCCTCTTATCTGACTGTTTCCTTGGCAGTGACTCCTCACCCAGTCTCCCAAGGTCTTTCCCAGATACCACTACACTTAGTGTTATTTTCTTTTTAAATTCAATTTTATTGGATTTTAGATTGCATGGACCGTTCCTGACTGCTGGATTCTTTGATAAACATGCTGAACAGGGAAATGGGGTGGATTCAGTCTTTTTGCTCATCCTGGAATATGATCACCTATTTGCTAGGACAAAAAAGAAAGCTCTGAAAAAGGGGGAGTTCCTTTGTTAGAATTGCAACAGATTCATATGGGCTGAGGCCAAGTTTGGTAATTATTGTAAATCTCACCAGGAGTGGCGGCACATTTATCCCAGAAATATAAAATTAAGATTTAAGTGGCGTAGACTCTCCCATGAGATTTCAACAATTTCAAACTAATTTGTGCTCCCAAAGTGCAAGCAGGTAGAGTTCTTCTTGCCATTGTGTTTTCCCACTACTATACAGACAAACACTGTGTGTTGAAATATTAAGGGGAAAAGCTTACAAAAATGTGTTTATTGGGAAAAAACTAGCAAGCCAAACATTAAATAAATTTAAGCCTAGAAATTAGGTTCGTGAAAATGCACATGACTTCTTTCCTATATAGCTTGCACTGTATGCCTACGTAGCATAATATTACAAAAACACACACATACATGTTCACACACTTCTAATAAGGTCTCTCCGGGATATTATGATTTGCTTCAAAACTCACTTGTGGCTTAGGGAAAAATGACTAAAAATATAGCAGACCTGTAAGGAACCCACTTCCATGTAGCACCATGAATTGGAACTATAGTATTTAAATAAAATCTAGACAGTTATTCCCCCCCCCCGCCTTTTTTTTGCAGGGCAAACCTGGATATAGCTTTCTCTTTTCCTCCATCTTGCAGAATGCCTTGAATTTTGATCTCCCTTTCATGCACGTCTGTTTTATTTTCATTTTAAATCTCAGGAAAAGCTTGTTGTTGATGGAAGGGTGGAATTCCATTTGATAGATCTTGGAAAGCTTGCCATTTCATTCTGTGAGTACATTTAATCTTCAGTGCCTGAACTGTATTTCATGTGAAGCCTTATTAAGATCAAGGAGTATGTAGGTTTATACAGCATATTTAACCTGATTAGTGGATTTGTCTATCCAGGGAGTTTATACAAGACATGGAACTATAAATTTCCTTCATCCTTGAAATCTGACCAGGTCTACCTTGTTAGGGTTCAGGAAATCATGAAAAGCAGAATTATTTTAGAGAACCTTTGACTTATCATTGTTGTCAATCCTTTGTAGCTTTTTGATTGAGTGCCTTATGATTGTCTCTGGGGCTTAATTTGAGGGGACTGTGTAATGTGTATAGCAATGCAATTTATTCTCCACTGTGGACATTTTATTTTAATCATTCTAGACTGCCACAAGTCTCACAATTCTGGAGGGTGGAGAGACCAAAAATTGAACAAAGGGACTAAGTTCATACAATATGTTAACCTACTCAATGAAAAACCCTCTCTAATGTCAATGCACACCAAAGTTACATGTCTTGCAAAAGTATCTATCCTTCTTTGTCTAACCTGGATTAGTTTGTGTTTTGAACACAGCCACTAACTAACCTATGATGCTCCGATCAGGATCTGAAAGTGTTCATAATATTGATGCTGACAGCCCTGATTTCCATGATGAAGACCACTTCTAGACCCTGCCCCCCCCCACAAAGAGCTTTTAATTTAAAAATCGGTCCTAGTACTGCAATGAAGGGAGAGGAAAACATGACGTTTTCTAGTGCCATGTTCTTTCCCTCAGCCAAAACATTTTTCAATATCTACCAAGACAGACTTGAAAAATATAGAAGCAAAACACAAGAGTTTGTAATATCAGCTCTCCAGGAAGGAAAGTTGAGTTCCCCGTTAATTATTTCTTGTAGGTCTCTGATTGTAAACTGTTCTTTTCACATACTTGATGTAGAAGTGAGTCTGTAACATGATTATGTGAATGTGATTCTATGGACATCCACTTCTTATAGACAGTTTGTTTTTTTCTGCACATTGCAAAGGGTTGGACCAGGTAATCTTCATAATCTCTTCCAACTCTATGATTCTTTTTATTTTTTGTTATTCTTGGAATTGTTATTGATTTTGGCCATTTATTTATCCATTTATCAAACTTCTACCCTGCAACAATCTAAACTGACTCTCAGGAACTTCAAGCAGAATGAAATACAAGATAATACCAAAAATGAAAAAAAAAACAAATACCTAAAGCATCTAAAATGACTAGCAACAATTGTGGTGTCATGCCCCAAATGCCATATATGTGTATTTAAATACACACATCACATCACATCCTACAAGGAGTTGAGTGAGATGGTCAAAAAGATAAATGTTCAGAGGCCCTCCTCAATATTTTAACCAACTAGCCATGACCTCTTCTGAAATACCCCATCCCATCATCTTTTTACTGGTTCATCACTGTGTGTCTGCATGTTTTCTGTATCTCCTGAAATTGTCATGAATTCAAATGAGCTTGTACGATGTTCTTTTTTGCTGTCTTGGCTCTTTTTTTCCTTAAATATACTTTTTCTACTTTGGGTGGGCTCATATTCTTCCTTATTGTTTTTTAGCAGGTCTATTTAGTTACAGAACTATTAGTATTCTGATAGAGTTTGCTATCGGTAGTGACAGAGATGAATATTGGACAAAGAGCACTGATGTGCCTAATGCCCCTAAATAATTCTAATTTTTTAATCTAATAATCTGATCTGTGATTCTACATACAATAGTATTTTATGTTATAAGGAGCATTGTTGAAATATAGGCCAAATCTAGCATCTAACACAGTGTTTCTCGACCTTGGCAACTTTAAGATGTGT